TATATATATATATATATATATATATATATATATATATATATATATATATATATATATATATATAGGTCTTCCTTTGCTGAAATGGAAAGACATTGTACGTGGCGACAAAATATCTGAATATACACCTGAATATACATCCGTATAAGTTGACTCGAGATGCAACTACAGTCTAGGCGTTGGTGTTTAGTAAAGTTTGATAGTTGGTATTATGATAAGTTAATATAGACTCATAGTCGACGTTGTTCCATTATGTCCACCATTAGACTTCGAGAAGGCCAGGCACTTGGACAACGTTCTGGGAGTACAAGTTGTGAAGCACGGTGGCAAGAAACCCGGTAAGTCAAAGGGACGCAGCGAGGGGGAAATATTTTGAGATGTATACTTGGCTTTTTTCCTTCTCGTAATTGCTGGATTGAGTTTTTTTCAGCATCACGTTTGACTATAGGGACTGCTGGTATCTATGCGTGGCCCGTGCGGCAATCTCTTTTCAATTGGTGACAACGCACACCCGACTTGAAGGGGGGTTTTTTTCTTGTTTTTTATTTTCCATTAGCTGACAATCTGGTGTTCCAACTTCCACTTCTCAACCGCTCGTAAGAGTGACAAGCCTATCTGATTGTGGACAAAGCACAGTCAGCTGCAGTCGATGTGTGTCTACCGTCCACTCATGTTTCTTGAATCTTACAATTCACCTTCCGCTCTGCTTAAGGCGGCCACGATGCTATTTTGCAAGCACTTGGCGGTAAGGATGTTAAACTAGAAGAACTGGCCTTTGTCGGAGATCGTCTGCTGACAGGTCAGTTGTATGCCTGCTTAGAACTCTCACGCTTATCTACTTTAAGTGCATCTGCCTCTCTGAGGGGCGTTGCGCAGAACAGTGCGAACATCTACTGGTTTTCGCTGTGCCAGATTGCGATTCCATCGGACAACAATATTCATTCACATACCTTGAGATGTACATTTATTTCGCGAAACGTATTGAATGTTAACTATGGGCAGGTGCTCGATACTAACTCGACTTACGATTTGTACCTCTGCCTTGACAGATGTTGTATTTGGCAACCTGGGTGGCATGCTCACCATACACACCCAGCCCTTCTCGCTCAAGAGAGACAACCGCGTAGCCAAGTCCGTTCGAACCATGGAGAATGCACTCATGCTGCCTTTCTTCAGATGGCTTAGACATAACAGGTACAGAGGTGCGCTGAATGAGCGCGTGCAAACCCATCCTCTGCTGTCAGGTGCGGGTTTGACCAGAACTGAGCCGTTGGAATAAGAGTCAATTCTCGCTATAGTCGATAAAGCCGTAGGCCAACCAATAATCTGCCTCGAAGATACAAAAAAAAACCCACACCAGGAACTGTAAGTGGCGACTTATGCGTGGTAGCGATATCTTCCAATGGTATCAATTCACTGGACAATAACGCCAATCGAGTGACACCCGTATTGCGTATTCTCCAACTATGGGCGACGGATAGTAGCGGATCCACTCCCACCTCATCACCGTGCGACAGTACTCACAACTCACAACACCCTAGATCCAGCTGTGCCGGTGTCACATGACATCCGATCGAATCAGGCGGTTGCAAATGACCGCACACAAACCCAAACCGGCATATACATATTGTTAGCATGGGAACTGTTGGCCTTGTTGACATGGAACTTCTCATTACTCGGTCAGCCATGCCAGTACCCCCCTTGTCGCCGTATCATGGCGTATGGTTTATCAGGTCGCTCTATGAACAGGAATAGAGCTGAGAGTGCGGAGCATGAGTAAATATTTCTCTGGCAGGACCTGGCTAGTGTGGATACAACCAATACTTCTGTGTGTATGAGGGATTGGGATTAAAATTGGTACCGAATAGCGTGTAGTTGTGGGTAGATGTCAGGATCGACCAACACGGCACACTGATACAGTGATGCAAAACAGCGGCTGTGTGGCCGAAAACCGCAAAGCCTGTCTCAGTTACTAACTTGTGGAGCGTGGCAGTTGAATGTAATAGAAAAAATAAAAATACATGGCAACTCTCCAATCAATGTATATAGACACAACTGTGGGCAAATTCGGAGCGCGTAAGAGAACTCGGTGTCGTCGTACAGGAGGCTAGAGCATTATGTTGTCAGGAATATAATACCCCTAACATTATACGACAAAGTAGTGGCAGAGGTACGGGTTCGTGCATAGTTGCCGTTTGGGTTTTCGTATATTAGCACTCGTGTACGCGAGAATGAGAGGTACGGACGTGGTATGGGGCAGCTGTACGATAACCAGATTGTGTCCACGCCCGTCAGCCGTCCGGCGCACTGGGTTAAAGTATCCCAGAGAGAGCAAAATGCCATATCCTAGCTGTATTGTGAAGATTAAATGTAGTTATGCCGAGTATGAGGCGGTCGCACCTTTAAAATAACTGTACTACACACATGACATGGCTGGACTCACTCGGCGATTGTAGTACATACCAGTGTATGAGAGTATAGGCAATGGGCGTCGACCAAGTCTGCCACGGCTAATGCGTGTAGTTAAAGTCGGGCCGATAAATCACAATAGGTTCTTTAATTTGATGAACTTCGGGAGGGCATCAATTGGCAACGAATTCAATAACTCAACAATACCAGCATGGCACAGGTGTTTGTCGGGTATTTGATGCCCTAGTGAAATAATTAAGCTATGTACCAGGAGACTTTCTGGACATGAAATGCCTTACTGCACCTTCCGGCATGTTTTATCGTCCTACGGTGCCAGTCTTATAGGCAGCTGCTGAAAAATTACAGGTGCGATAAATACATTGAGCCACTGTTCTAATAGGACTGATTGTATATGTATTAATTCTCATATAGTTGATGAGTCCGGAAGTATCGAAAGATAGGGAAGTAACATTGATTGGGTCCCATAGGAACCGTCAATAGGGACAAAAAGGGTGCTCACGAAAGTATAATCGAGTAGTTGTCGATAGAATGTCTAGCACCCGTACCCGGGCTTAAGTATCACTCAATTGATATACATTCTCGACTGATGAGTGTACTGCAGAAAGTCGCCCCGAGAGAAACATTATAAAGGGCAATTCGCTGACATAACAGAGCAACCAAATGCGTTTACTTTCACTATAGCTTCGAGCTATTTATTTTTATGAGAAGCCTCCGTAAAGTACGATTCTTTGCTCCCCATGCCCACGTCTTTCACCCCCCTCTCTTTCAATGTGGCAATATTGGGATAGGGGATGGAAAGAACCGGGATATTAAACTCAAGGGAAAGCTGTTTGATAGCCCTCCAGGCGAAGCCTACAAATTGTACTGTAACGTACACAGAGGCTAATTGCAACGATACATGGTCATTGGTAGAGCTCATTCGCGTCGACGCCAGCAGTAGCATCAGACAAGCCAGCGATTTATCTGCAGAAAACATTCAGGCAGCACAGAAGAATAAGTTGTGAGTGTACCGTGAAAATGGATAAAGACCACATTTCATACACAAAGACAAACAATAGTAGGTAACAAAACCATTTAAACTGTAAATAATAATGCACACCCACATCGTATACAGCCATCATTCCTTCCTCTTACCCCATGAAACCATTCGGGTCTTAGCCATATGACTGACGATTAGCCGACAGACAATTTTCGAGTTGACAATCCCTATACACCAGCAGAAAAGGGCGGTGCGCTCTTCCCATAAGTCGCAGCTCAGCCTAAAAACAAAGCCAGAGGTTAGCGAGACGAATCCAGGTCGATGCAATGACTGTAGTCTCGAGTTAAAGCAGATAGATAAGCGCGTCACAGAGAAACCAATTAGTGGCGACCAACGGATACATGCGCCTATCGAGTACTGCAGCAAATACAATACCCGATCAAACTCACATTAGGCCTGATACGATGGCGACAAAAGCCAGTATCGCGGCGGCGGGTTCGTATCGACTGTCGTTGGCCAGAGACCCTGTCGGTGCTTCGTGCATGACAACGTTCCTGAAATATAGTAATAGTATACGGAATATCAAACGATTTGAGTTCGGTACAAAACATACTACAGTCGTATATGAGATCAGCTGTCTGAGTAGAACAGAAGACGGTTAGTATTGACGACAACAAAACGTTACCGCGTCAGGCCACCACGACAACTAGTTCAGTGTTTGTAACGGGATGGAAACGGTACATATTCCCTGTGAACCATTGATTGCATGTTGTTTACAACCGTCAATGGATGAGTCTGAAACACTGCGCGCAAACGCACCCCCTTTCGCCGTGAAACATTCAAACTGGTTTGATTTCGCAAAAATCTCCAACTTTTAAGAATTGGGCAACAGATACGGTGCATTTCGGTTCTGAAACCAAAAAAAACAACTTTCCAATGATTACTGATGAATACAAGCACACACTATCGTTGCCATCGAATCATGGAGCGCCAGTACGGGCGAGAGTGATTTAACTCACCGAATAAAACGTGTTCAAATTAACAATCCTCCTGAAAGCAGGTCCAAACAGTGTTTGCATTAAATATGATCACCTGGATATGGTAGCGCAATACTTACCTCAAAGATCGCATGATGGACACCATCACGAACACGATGCCGAAGGTCATGAAGCACGCACGGAGTGAGGCGGTGCCAAAGACTTGTGTCTTCCAGACACTGTCGACAATACAGTCCAGGGTAAAAGGTACAGTTAGCTTAGTCGAACGACTTAGTTCAATAAATATGCCAGCATGGCTAGACAGCAAGCGGAACCATACGAATTGCGGTGGTATCATAATGTGCACAAGGATATCAGATGTATCGTTCAATACACAAGAAGTACCCCTAACGCGCATGCAGACTTTGTCGAGCATTGTGTATATCTTAAAAAGGTACATATAGCGTGACCACGTACTAAACACGCGCTCGCATCGCGTGTGCTGATGTGACAAAGAACTAACACTACAAATATGGCTTAAATTATCCAAAAGGATACACTTATAGCCACGTATATGTACTCAATGTTGTTGTCATGCCACATTGGCTTATTGTCAATTCATATCAAATAAAACAAAGAACAGCAGTCATAGCATCCGATCTTATTTTAGGCCATATTCAACTGGACGCTACATAGGTATACGGAATCAGCAAGACATACTCAGGTCCGAAGAAGCCGGTGAGTATGTGCACCAGCATCATTTGCATCTGCGCTTCGGTAACATCCACGCTGTGGGGACAAATAGAGATCAGAAGATGAAGTGAGGGAGAAAGTAGGCAGCTAGCAGGTATGTGTTTTAACATAGGCACTGAATAGATTTAGTAAGTTAGTCCTGCCTCAGATATCTGGTTCTAACCACAGCTATGTGCGCAGGCTTTGTGTATCCTACATGGCCACCGGTGCTATCTAGAAAAGAGCGATGATTTTCTATGTGGTGTCTGAAAACAAAAAAGCTTAGTTGTGGTTGAAGACCACGTGTGCAGTGGTCTGATTACCCTCTGTATAGGAGCCTCTGATCCGAGACACTATCAGGGTTCCACAGGTTCAGCACGAAATGCCTGACCTGGCCCTCGCTGGTAGTTAGTTGACGGTGACACTTTTCGGGTAGACCAAAGCACAGGATCAAAATTCTGATAGTCCAACATGGTTGGCATTCACATCCGTATTCGCACAGCTATAGGACAAGCCGAAGAACAAGTAAACCGTGCACATTCACATTGCACAGGTACTTTCCAAAGGAAGACACATACATTCCGAATTCAAGGCCACCAGTGACATAGCAGTTCCAGTGAGCAAGGTAGAAGCCTACCAGCGTAGCCATGATCAGTCGGAACGACCCAAAGTCAGCCCCCAGATCAATAGCCGCTACAGTGCCCATCAGCTGCTTACAGAAACATTCGTGGAATTAAAAAAAGTGCTAATAATGGTACGTAGTACAGCCGGTGGCATTGGAAGATGATTTGTAAGCGATTGAATATACTAATATTATCAAATCTCAGGATTGTCCATGCCTCTAACAAACGTCATGCTACGTCTGACCACCTACCGTTAAGATCGTAGTGATGGAGTCACAGCCATGATCCATGAGCTCCCCAATCACACTGCCGGTGTTTGTTCGCTTAGCCTGCTTACCATCGATAGCATCCAATGTCTGTAATGGTAAAATTGATGTGTTTTATGTGTGTGTACCTCCGGAACCCTAACCCCTAAACCCTGTATCTGGGGTTTGTCCTGAGCTCCAGGGTATCACGTGCAAAGAATCAACGGCTGCGATCTCTTGTACTCTTTGCAAGTCTAGAGTGCTGGAGTGCAGTTGTTGGCCTTGGGCAAGACAAAGGTGACGGCGTTCAAGTACAGACCACACTGTGCGGACAATTCAAGACACACCTAAGAATATACAACCATCGCTACCCTAAACGAAGATGCAAAGCACACATAAAGGACAATTCCGCGCCCGAGGTCTCTTAGGATTCCGAGCACTGCGAGTCAGTGCTTTGTCTGGAGATATGCATAGCGTATACGAAAATATGAACACACGCTTCTCGTAGGAAGTACATACATGCAGAACAGTTGTGACATAAATGGATCACTGATTGTTCTGCTCACCTGATACACATGAAGGCAAATTGCGCACAGGAAGTATACCCATCTCGGCGCCTGCATCCGCAAAAAGAGGAGGAAGATGTGACTTAAGTGATAGAATACGCCAGAAATTGAGGATACTTATGATCAGTCCACTTAATAGAAACGTACATGATAAAGCAAACAAAATGTGTTGAACTATGCTTAAAGGGGTAAGCAAAAAAAACAAAAGTGGGCGGCCGAGGTCTAGGGGCAAGGCAGGCATACTCTATCTTCCACAGCTTCGTGACAAGTGATTTGCACAGACTTTGTTAGATATTTTAAATTCAGTCGCACGCACTGAGCAACACAAATAGTACCAACGATGTGCAAGTTCTAAGAAGAGCGTAAGATACCGATTGCCTGTGCGCGTGACATACGTCTTATCTGGTCGAACTCGGAGCCGAGAGCTTAGCAGCAAATACAAATGGTGTAGTTTCCAGGTTGCTTGATAGATCCCGTTTTTTAACATAAATACGTAATACTCCACCACCCCACCCCTTCTATGAATTGGACTAGGGTAATTTTACGCCGGATTGTATTGATAATCGGAGCAATGTATCTGGGTATCTACCTGAAAACGTGTATCTCGGCGATTCGAAAGCTAGTACATTCTCACACATACAACGGCACAGAAGGGACAAGCATATTTACAAAGGATTACACTGCAAGTGCAGAACTCATACCTCACCGCTTAAAGTTGGGCAGTAGTACATCAGCACTCCCGTAGATAGGATAATTGACGACAACCCCAACAGTGTGAGCACATTTGGGGCCACCCAAGTGGGCACGTATGACACCACGGTATTCCAGTAAGGGTTCATCACATACTGTTGTAAGATGCAAAAGCAACGAAGTTAAAGCTTCAGCAAGCATTTGGGAAATATGAATCATATGCCAGGCGGTTAGAACAGTATGTTGTCGAAATCTGATTACAATATACAGTTTGTTTTGTGAATGAAGACGACGGATATCAGTTGGGCTGTCAACAAACAGAGCATGTGGCACGCGTTAAGCAACAACAATTGAGAGCTCATCGGTGAACAACATATCTCTACGACATATCACACAAGTACAAATTATAAAACTCGCCAGACCTTATTGGAAGGCATTTCTTATGAATGAAGGCCAAGCTGCTCTCGTTTCAACGACAAGTGATATGAAGAAATATTTATGACGAACGCATTGGAGACAGATAGTTGGGTGACAGCCATATACATGGACTTGGCGGATAACAACAACGAACTATTTGATAACAATAACACGTACCTTGTTTAGATATGAACCATCTTGGCTTTGGTACCGGTGAGCTTTCAGATTCTGGATCTCCAACGCGGTGAAAACTGTGGCCTCGCTCTCCGTGTATAGAATTAGTTTATCCACCATAGAGCCCGCCCCGGACGGACTGGCAATGGCTCCGGGTCCTCTTGTGATACCAGGCATTCTCACTATGAGGTCTGGAGGACAATTATCGAGAAGAACGAAAAGTATAATTGGTTGTATGGTATGGAGATATACAGGTGTGAATTGATGTTCACCGTTCGCATGAAAACGAATATATTTTCATCAGTTTAACAATATAAACATAGAATATTGACTTAAAACAACGCTATTTAAAAATCAAAATATATGCATATGCATGAATATACGAGAAAACAGAAACATGGATACACAACTATATTAA